ACAGATTGCTTCTGTCTGGATTGCTCAATTGACCAATCCTGCTCAAGACTGAGGTCAGGACCGCCCCTACTCATTTGCATATGACACAGAAATACAGAAATAAATAAATGTGGAAATAAATTAAGACATTTATTTAGTTATTTCCACATTTATTTATTTATTTCCACATTTGTTTCTTTATCTCGACATATATTTTTTTGTTTATGCATTTATTTCCAAATTTATTTCTACATTTATTTCTACTTATGTCATTTCTCGTAAATATTGTGAACAAGAAATGTATAAAACTGATGTGATGCACTTTCACAATGAATTACATCCGCTGGCCAAAAGCAAAAGCAAAAAGCAAAAAGCGACCACGAAGGGACTCGAACCCTCAATCTTCTGATCCGAAGTCAGACGCCTTATCCATTAGGCCACGCGGTCAGATTGACTATTGAAAAAACATATATAGTATTTACACCTATCTTACATACATACACGCTATGAATGAGCACGATCGTTGCAGTCTAACACAGGTTTCCAGTTCCGGTACAAACTGTGACTAACTGGGACTGTTATGGTGAGTTACTATAAGCGCAGCTTTATTGATTTGATGTGTTGGGTTGTTTGGTTTTCTATAATCTACCGAACTATTTTATAATTGAAGATTTATCAAGGTGCGTGATCACCAGGGGCGGATTACGCGGGGAGAGGAAGGGGGTCAGGGCCCATATCCTTGGAGTAACAGAGAGATGTCCCCCTCATTACCATTGCTATGTTCCCTACATAATCTTACACTATAGCAATATCCACTGAAAGCAATTTTTATAGATGCAACTTGAAGCATTTTTTACTTTTGAAAAATGTAATCCCCCCTTATATACCTTACACACATTTCTCCCTCTATACTTGTGAGGACACTTACTGGCATAATGCATTCCTTAGTCCCTCAACCTAACCTTAACAAACACAACAAAATGCCTTACCTTAGCCTAAACCTAATTCTAATCATAAAACTAAGTCTTAGCCCTCAAACAGTGCATTGAAAAAGTGAGGACCGGCAAAAATGTCCTCTCTTTAAGGTCTATGCTTAAAATGGTCTTCACAAGTACAAGTACACACACACACACACACACACACACACACATCAGTCACTTGTGAATTAATGAAGTAATTTGCTGCACTGCACATTTTTCTTTTTAATTTCTCCGATCAATGTAGAAACAGTGAATACAATACAACAGGGTGCATTATATCAATGCTTTATTAAAAGTGGGTTCAATAATGACATGACCAGAGTAATCTTGAATGACAATATCTTATCAACTAATAATGTACAAGTAAGTAAAGCAAATGAAATGGGTTTATTCGGACAGTATGTTAGTGACATTCACATATAGGCACTGAAAAAGTAAAACATTCACACACAAATAAATACGCAGGCACAATTTCGTATTAGTTATCCTAAATATGAAAAATAAGAGGCGTCAAAACTGGTGAGACATCACGGTACAGAAACCTTGAGAGCCAGGCTCTGGTTTGTCTACACTAACACATGTTCATCCCTCGTCCCCCACTTCCATCATCCTAACAGACATGAGCATTGACCTCCAATGCACTTTGTACATCATATCCACAGGAATTGCATTTCAGCAACTGTAAATTAACCTTGACTTCATCAGGATGTAACAGACTCCTCTGTGTCCTCAGTACCAGGTTGCAGAATTATCATCCATCCTTTTTCAAAACACACATAGGGCCTCTTCTGGTGTCAGCTGGAAAGGATTCAAGCTTCGTTACATTTTGAATTTAACAGAAGGATCGGATATAAAATATTAGTTGGAGTGACATTCATAATAACAAAGGTTTATACACACTGCAAGACGTTACCTAGAAAAAAAGGCATAGGTATTGTATACTGTGAAAAAAGGTGCAATATATTTGCAGGTTAGTTTATAGTTTGGTAAGACTGCTAGGTGAAAACAACAATATGCATCAATTGTTGCAGGTTAATTTATAGTTTGGTAAGACTGCTAGGTGAAAACAACAATATGCYTCAATTGTTGCAGGTTAYTTTATAGTTTGYTAAGACTGCTAGGTGAAAAKAACAATATGRGTCAATTGTTGCAGGTTAGTTTATAGTTTGGTAAGACTGCTAGGTGAAAACAACGATATGCATCAATTGTTGCATCATTGCTGCAGCGGCTTTTTAGCATTTAGTGGAAGCATCACTCCGACACAGCTGGTTTAACCGGTTATCTAGTATGTAAAATAAGCTTGCAGCATACACTGTAGGTATTGTTCTGTACAGTGAATAAACAGCAATGCTTCTTAAATTTCAATGGGCAGGTTTCTTTTTGACCCAACAGCTTTGTTGTGGTCCATATGAAGACCTACTGCAATTCTTATAAGAGAGTTGAAGTGACTTAGAGGGACATGTATAATTTCTGAAAGGAAACAAAAACTCTAGTCTGCCTTTTCTGAAGCTCCCCAGTTAGCAACCTCTTTTTTCACTTGATTTTAAATGCTGAGACCACGTCGACATAATCAGCAACACAGTTGAACATTTTCAAATTAGAAATATCATTATTTGCTTTCTCGCTGACAGTTTGAGGTATCTGAAGAAAGACTGATACCACTTAATGTATGTATGTTAAACATGAAGCCACAGCCAGCAGCAGGTTAGCTTAGCACCATAGAGACTGTATATAAAGCTGGACGACGCATCTCTACTTCCTCCCACTATCCAGAAATGAAGCCAAAATATCCCGACATGGAGGCTGCCATCTTGTGCATTTAGAGCCAGAGTCTATGCATTAGCCATAGGAGGATGGAGCCTCAGTAGCACGGTACCGCCAATAAATGTGTTCAACCAATCGTGAGTCAGTCTCAGCTGTCAATCATGACTTTTCAGCCTGTTTTTATAGCATCCAATAACTAATTAACATCAAAATTACCTGAAAATGAGCACTTGACCTAACATCAGTGTGATAACAGCAGCCTACAATGACATAAACTATATTATGTTATTTGTATTTTTGTAAATGTATTTGATGTGTATTCTGACTATCTAACATTGAGGTGGATTTATGTCCTATTCTGCAGCCAGCCACCAGGTGGTGGTTGAGACACATTTTTCTCATCCATCTTTAAGTCTTTGCTTAGAACAAAGAATAGAAATAGAGCAAAACTGTGGACTTGGCTCTATTCAAAACTAATAGAAACCACCTTCCAGAGCGTTACTGTTTCTGGCCAAGAAATAGTCTGGTACAACCAAAATGTGTTAATGTCGCCACTACCCCCTGATTTCAGTCTTTTTGCCATGCAAGGAAAATCAGCTACTAGCTGTAGCCAGGCATGACAGTGGATTTGATCTTCTCATTAAAACTCCTTCAAAGACTTCTCAAAATGTCATTCTACTCCACAAAAGGCACAGACACACACGCGCGTCAATATGTGAGAGGGTCAATCTTTATCTTTCTTAAAGGTTCAGTGTGTAGAATTTAGAGGTGAAGTTGCATGTTGCAGCTGAATACCCTTCATTTCACCCTCCCCTTCAAAACATGAAAGAGAACCTGCAGGGAACTTCAGTTTTCATGAAAACTCAAAAGGTTTTAGTTTGTCCAGTTTGGATGACAGTAAAAAACATGGCGGCCTCCACAGAGAGGACCCCCCTCCATGTAATTCATACAATTTAGATGAAACACATCAGTGAAAACATCACTGGGATAATTTTATATTCAATTTCTGCCAAAAATCCCTTTAACCTAAATCTTACACACTGGACCTTCAATGCAATCACACAAATGTTAGTCCGCTATAATAACAAATCTATCGATTTCCACTCATGTTCCTGCAGCAATTTTCTCATTAAGCCTCAGCATTAAGTGCAGTTGTGAGCATCACAGACATGTTGCTTTTATTGTGTTATTGTGGTGTAGTATATGCCCACGGTATTAAGGCAGGGAAGCCAGAATATATCAAGTAGAAACACTGAATCAAATGATAAGAGGGGAGTAATCTATAGTTCTCAACAGATGAATTCATGTTTTATATACTGCATTCAACTAAATTCTGCAGGGTTTTGAAATTGATCACATGCAAATCAGATACTTGTGTATGCTGGAAGGTTTCAATTCCGGATTAAAGCCATGCAGTCTAGTTTGACCTCAGATAAAGACTACATCCATATGAATACGTATTCAAACTAAAACGACCTTTGTCCACATATCGTTTAGGCTCAGTATCAGTTTTTTATCCCTGTGCATACCAACACGCCTGAAAACGCATATAATGTGACCACTCGCATACACTGGGCATGTGTCCGGATGCAAACAGGAAGCCATGCTCGTCCCACTGGACACGGGACTTGTAGCAGATTGCTCCAATAATAGCTTGCCTCGTACTCATGTTAACAGTTATATCATTGTAAAATACAGAATTTAACTGCGCAACACTAGTAATTGATGATCCATGTTGCGTTCTGCATTGGTAGCTAAGGCAACTGCCGTTTGTTTTCTAATGAAAGAGGTTCATGTGATAGGAGCCTGACAAATTTGTGAGTCATGACGTCATGACCAAAAAGACCCAATCAGCAAGCAGGGGTAAATATCTATGTCATTGTTCCTAAAAATCTCCATTTCTGCCCGTCCAGACTAAAACATAGCCCCAGAGTTTCAGACTAAAACAGGTCAAGCAACGTTTCCAAACTGCAGAGTAGTGGGATGCCACGTGAATCTGTGGTTGATGCGTTTTCGAACAAAAACATATTAGTGTGGATGCAGCGAAAGTGAACTATACTAGAATTTAGCAGTTTCCGCAATAGCGCCCTCTATAAGAATGTTTACACTAAACCTATTCTCAGACACATTACCGTCCTCTAATCAACCAAACAGTGAACCACTAGTGTTTACTAGATTTGCCAGATTTCCCAGATTTGCTAGATTTAACAGCTTTGGTAGCTTTGATGTCCATCTTGGTCTTCTGGATACGAGAGAAGATCTCCTTAAAAAGGGCCTTGTACTCTGGCGTGTTTTGTCCCAGCCGTTTATCCACCGCCTCCACCTGCTTGCTGATGCTCTCGATGGCTTCAGGGGTGGATGGTGACTGGGTAGGGGTAGGCGGTGGTGCCGGGATGGGGCCCATAGCACAGTCTTTCATGGATGGGTCTCTGGAGACTGGTCGGGACGTCTGAACCTCGGCATGACACAGGCTCTCCTCGTGGCGCCGACACTTCCCTAATAGCTCCTCATATTTCTCCAGTAAGGCGTGGTACTGCTCGTCCACCTCCCTGAGGATGGACATCCCTCTCTTCCTCACGCTGTTGGCATGCAGGGCGTAGCTGCCTCTCCTGCGGCCGGAAGCATCTCGGGCTACAATGGCGTTGAGCGCTGTGTCGCTGCAGCTTTTCCTCACAGGGTTGGACTCAGGTAATGCCGCACCCCCGACGCCCCCTCCACCTTCGGTCTCCTCCCTCACCCCTCCCCCTGTCTCCGCGACCTCCACCTCCAGGAAGGTGTCAGTCTCTGGCGTGCTGTTGAGGACAGTCTGGGTGAGATTCACGCCGTCGTCCTCGCCGCCCAGCAGGAAAGTGCGAGCACGACGTAGCTGCTGCAGCTCCTGTAGCTCCACCTCCAACTCTCGTACCCTGGCCTGGCAGCCCTCAGCATCCTGGGAGCAAAGGCAAACAATTTTAGTTTGACATGAACAGATTCTCAGTAAGGTGATTCTCAGCACCTCAACTTCCAGCATCCTTATCCGGCAATAATTAGAGGACTTAGACATGTTATAGACATAAGATGTATATCATGGGGGTATTTTATCTTTTACGCAGGATGCCTGGCTGCATTTAAATGAAAAGTTTATATGAATAA